GAACTACAGTACACCCCGCAGGTTTTTTGTGATTTTGTGAGCGATCTTTGTGTTTGCAATGTTGGAGAATGTAATTAAAGGTTTGTATCAAGAAACGACGGTGGTTTTTATTGTATACAGGTAAATCTCTGCTGTTAGTTGGTGTACATATGCCTTTTGTTAGCCAACATGTATGTACATATTTATAGCATGCCGATCGCGGCAACGCCAAAAACACCAAAAACCCGTGCATGTACATTCTCAGTTACTAACGCACATAAATAAATTTCAAGCACATGTTAATATATTGCTGCCATATTGGTTTTCGGTTATCTCGATCATCGGTTATCTCGATGCTTTTTGGCAACCCCCTAGGCCGGCGACATAACCAGGTTCGACTGTACTTCAGTCAATATTCCAAGTTGGCAGTACCAGACTTAAAGACATAACTACAAAAATAATGGAGATGATTGCATTGGACAATCAGGCATTTTCCATAATAGAGGACCAGTGATTTTGTTGGCTCATTCACCAGAAGAGGTCTCAAAGTACCAGCAAGATTTGGCCCATAATACTGTTTTATATGACCCGTGACATGGCCCTCAGAATGATCTCTGTGGAAAAAGCTATCTACAAAAACCCTTTCACATTTGCGAAGGTTAGGGGTGGATGGTCCCCACAAATGTCAAAATTAGCAAATAATACTTGCCCCACCTGACGTCAACCCATAACAGTCCGCTAGCCTGAACAATACCATAAAAAGTCTATTTACCAATTTGTAAACAAACATTATTTTACTGTACACTTTGTATGTCAGATTAGCCATTTCCTATGAATAAATTTTTATATAATGTACAAACCATCTAAAGTATGCCCTCATATGTGTAAAGTTACTACTGTGCGCACTGGGGTCTCTACATTTCGGACTTAGTAAAAATGCTAAATTAATGCCACAGTAAAAATTAAGTGACTGCGTAAACTTGAGATTCCATGGTCACAAAAACTGTTAATGGGAGAGAGGCTGATTTCTGAGACAAAGCTGTGCAGTGTACCCAAGCCTTTTCAATATTAAAGATATAGTATGTACTTACACTGTATACACTGTACTTACAATGTATTACTAATAGGTATATACAGTCAAGCACGGAATTATTCATACCCCTGCCAATTTTGACTTAAAGTTACTTTTATTCAACCAGCAAGTTTCTTCTTGATTGGAAATGACACAGGCATCTCCCAGAAGATAAGACGATGTACAAGAGACATCATTGTGGTAAAAAATATTTCTCAGCTTTTATTTACATTTTTTGAACAAAAAGTGGCATGTCAAAATTATTCATACCCTTCTCGATAATCAATAGAGAAGCCTTTATTGGCCATTACAGCAATGAAATGCTTCCTATAATTGCCGACCAGATTTTTGCATGTCTCCACTGGTGTTTTTGCCCATTCATCTTTAGCGATGAGCTCCAGCTCTTTCAGGTTGGAGGGTCTCCTTGCCATCACCCTGATCTTTAGCTCCCTCCACAGATTCTCAATGGGATTCAAGTCAGGACTCTGGCTGAGCCACTGCAAAACGTTAATGTTTTTGTCCCCTAACCATTTCTTCACCACTTTTGCTGTATGTTTTGGGTCGTTGTCATGCTGAAATGTCCAGTGGTGCCCAAAGCCAAGTTTCTCTGCAGACTGCCTAATGTTGTTGTTGAGAATCTTGATGTATTGCTCTTTTTTCATGGTGCCATTTACTGCGATTAGGTTCCCTGGTCCATTGGCTGAAAAACACCCCCAAAGCATTAGGTTCCCCCCACCATGTTTGACAGTGGGGATGGTGTTCTTAAGGCTTCTCCTTTTTTACGCTAAATGAAGTATACATCATTGTGGCCAAACAATTCAATTTTTGTTTCATCTGACCATAACACAGAAGACCAGAAGTCGTCTTCTTTGTCCAGATGAGCATTTGCAAAGGCCAAGCGGGCTTTTGTGTGCCTTATCTGGAGACGTGGCGTCCTCCTTGGTCTGCGTCCGTGGAACCCAGCATTGTGCAGTGTCCGTTGGACGGTCTGCCTTGAGACGTTGCCACCAGCAGAGCCCAGATTCACCAGGATGGCCTTGGTGGTGATCCTTGGATTCTTTTTCACCTCTTACTATCCTCCTGACCAACACAGGTGTCACTTTTGGCTTCCAACCACGTCCTCTGAGATTTTCCACAGTGCGAAACGTCTTGTATTTTTTAATAATACTTTGCACTGTAGCCACTGGAACTTAAAAAACATTTAAATGTGGCCTTATCGCCCTTTCCTGACTTGTGAGCAGCCACAATGCACATCCACAGGTCCTCAGAGAGCTCCTTTGTCTCAGCCATGACTGTCCACAAACCAACTGCAGAGAGCTGCTGTTTTTCACCTGTTGAGTTGATTAAAACAGCTGTTCCCAATGAATTAGGGAAATTAGGATGCTTTAGAACAGCTTGCATTATTTGGAATGGTATAGAACTTTGGATTTTCCCATAGACTGTGACAGTTTGCAAAAAGTATGAATAATTTTGGACATGCCACTGCCTGTGTCATTTCCAATCAAGAAGAAACTTGCTGGTTGAATAAAAGTAACTTTAAGTCAA